TCCTCTGCAAGAAGGTTTGGTTAAAAAAAAATACGTGCACATACATATGTATATGGTATCAGGGGTATGGAAATATCCCTTTTCCCTTGAAGTAAACCGTTTAGTGTGGACCACAATGATGTTTTTCAAATAGGGCAGATCGGAATATGCGCTCCCTGGGAAGACAATACCTGTAATTATTGTTCCATGATATAAATTCAGATTTCAAACTTTGTACAAAAATTAGACAAGTTCTGCTTATTTTCACCAAAATTTAAAATTTCATTTAATCAGAATTCTGGTATGCAGTTTTGTAGACTATTTAATTCTAGTATAATGAAGTGCAAGTTTCAAGCTGATATAAAATCCCGTTAATTTTTGGCATTTTTTTTTTTGCTGGCACTGTCCTCCATATACAAGAAAATTGTCGAACATACTTTTGTATGAAAAACGGGAAACACCTTCAACAAAAAAAAATTTTTTTTGTGAGCTGTCTGCAAATGTTTTTGAATGTGTGCTGTTGTCTATCGCTTCACCTGAACATATGAAAAGATAATCCAAATAATCGGCGAAAAAAGGAAACGACCTTTGCTTCTCTTTTAAAATATTATCGAACATACTATATGAAAAAATGCCTAACACCGTAAAAAAAGTCCAAAAATTAACGGTAAATCCTAGCTACTTCAAACTTGCACTTTATTGTACTAAAATTTAAGGAATTTTTTGTAACCCATTTTGTGGGTTAAAATATATATATATATATATATATATATATATATATATATATATATAGCCGAATTTCCACTAGACATTAAAATGACAAAAAATGTATGCCATTAAAAAAAAATGCCATGTGGAAATAAACTTAATGGCTATTTTTTAACGTAAAGACGCGAATATTTTTTAATGCCCAACTTTGTCATTTGTCATTTTTGCCATTTAATGCCTAGTGGAAATCCAGCATAATTTCGAGATTTTACTTTAAAGCTCTAATACATTTAGGATCTTAATTTTCACTAAACACATCATATCTTTACATAGTATAAAGAAAGAATTTTTGTAGGGTTGCCATCTAATAAATTATAAGATCCGCACCGTTCATTGCATTAGAAAAAGTGAGGTGCCAAATAAAAGCGCTTGGCCTCTAGATAAGCATAAATGTTTTATTTTCTTGAGCAGGGTTGCCACCTGTTAAGAAAATTACCATATTCAATCTTAGTAAGCGAAGGTATCAGTTCTGCACCGTCACTTCCAAATGAAAAGACTTGGCGTATAGATGTGCAAAAATTTATTCTTTTTAGGGTAGGATTGCCACCTGTTTAAAAATTAAAAGACCTTCGCCGCTCTTTGGATAACAAAATGAGATGGCCTCCGCATGTATAAAAAAAAACTATTTTTTTTAGTAGAGTTGCCACGTATTTAAAAATTAAAAAATTACTCTTTGATCCGAACATAGTATTAAGCAAAGTCAAGATGTTTTGACCACGCCAATCTGTAATGTGCGATCGCTGTGGTGCAGTGCGCGGTACCCTTCCGCAGAGCTTGGGTTAAAGACCGTTTCCACCGAACATCAAATATAAAAAAAAAGGTTTTTTCTAATAGCGGTCGCCCCTCGGCAGGCAATGGTGTACCTCTGAGTGTATTTCTGTCATGAAAAACGGCTATGGTAAAAATACAATCGCCGTTCGACATCGGCGTAAAACTGTAGGTCCCCTTTGTGTGACAATATCAAGGCGCACGTCACAAATCGCAGAAACTCGGCTAAGTACTAACGTACGTATGTATGTATGTATAAGTGCCAATCTATTATCTATTATTATTAGGTATTACGCTCGAAAATTACTGAACAGATTGGAAGTGGTTTTACTTAATATAATCTGTATCGATAGGGCTATTATCTTTAGTACTTAGAATTTCTATAGGGTTGCCACCCGTCTAAAAAAATTGTAAGATCTTTTGGTTGAATTACAAAAAGTGTAATGTGAATTCAAAAGGCTTGGCCTCCAGATGTTCAATAATTTATTATTTACACATTCAGCGTGTGGCGAAGTAGCTCCCATTTCCATCGTTGTTACACTGTTAGTTTTCTATGTAGTCGATCACAAAAGAATTATATTAAAGATAGTGTCTACTATGATCATTTGAGAAGAATTTTGGATATCCACAACGATCAGGGATTTTGCTTTTGGTCTCAATTTCGGCTATAAATGTGCCCAATAAACATGAGGATTGGTTAACAATTCGAAAATGATTGGAAAACTAACATTTTTTCAAGTCACACCTTCGATAACGAATGTGGAATAGGTTAGTATTCGATTCGAGAACTAGGCCATTCTCCAGCAAAACGTAACGTAACGTTAACCAATGAATTTTTCCTTCGTTATGAATTCGAAATCTAGCCCATTATCGAATTTAAATTTTAATGAGAGAGAGAGTGATTGTATTATACATATTTCCATTCGAAAATGAGCTGGATCTCACTTTCTCTCTTGTTAGTCCCCTTTCAGACACGTCAAGTCTTGCTTTCAAGTCTGCTCGTTCGTTGGCGAAGGAGGTGGGAAGAGAGGGGAAGAGTACAGATACCTTCGTACCGTCAATTCGTTTCAAGTTTTCTTGTTCTCTTTTGATATTTTCGTTGCTTCCCATTTAAAGATCCAAGGACTTGAATTCAATAAAACTTGACGAGTGTGGAAGCAAAGAGAAAACACAAAAGAGAATGCGATAAAAATTGCTTTTAAGACTTGACGTGTCTGAAAGGGGAATTACTATGGTTTTCGTTTTGTTTTTTGTCGAACCCATTTCGAATGTATTTCCTATATACTATGAACGTTGGAAAACTAAGGTTGGTTATGAGTTCGTTCTCAGTTCGATATTCATATTGGATATCGAAGGTAATTTTCGAACGTTCGCCAAAATGTTTATACATAGGGCAGCCTTAAATGCAAAGTCCCTTGTTAGAGTTAGTTCAGTGAAACCCTTCTTATGCACATACATACATACATACATATGTCGATGTTTTCACGATTAGGGTGGTACCCCGGTGTTTTGGTCAAACTTTTATTGTATGTATGTACACGCTGTAAATTACTTCCAGCCCGTATACGAAAAACTGGATTCAATGCTGTATACATACATACAGTCCGCTTCACTTGAATAGATACACATTTTTCCCACAGATCAGAATTTTCTTTTTGATCCAATATTGAAGAATGATCAATTTCAAAAGAAAACTGGTGAAAATTGAGAAAAAACCTCTATTACATTGGATTGTATTATTATTTTGATTCACTTGAATAAGTACAGTGGCTTAAACACAAGGAAAGGACTAGATTGAACCAACAAAAGCATGCCATTCACTTTAGTTCTACTATATAACACTTTTAGTATTGGATACTACATCCTTAATTCCAATGTATGGAAAAAACTTATATTCGGAAGATAATTCTAGAGATCTGCTTTCCACTTTAACGCCACATGGATTGTCGGATAGGCAAAATTTGCAAAACATCCAATTCCAAATATTTTCCATTGAATTTAGGTCCTGTGAATAGGACGAAAATTACGACTTTGCTTCGTTATCCTCGTTTTTACAGCTGCTGTTGTGTGAATCGGTGCATAATTCAAGATCAAGGTGCAAAAATAGGCAACAAATGCTAAACAAATGTCCTAATACTTCTTTTGCATGAATTATTCGTAATTTTGGAAACTGGAAATCTACGAAATCGCAGTTCCGACCGCCATACTCTCTTCTTGATGATGGAGGGGAAACGTTCGTCGTTAAAAAAAAAAACCTGACTATTATTATTAAATCCGTTATAACGGATCAAAATTAAACTTTTCGCCAGAGCAAACCATCATTTGCTAGTTGTCCTTTCAGGCATGCGGGTTGTACAAAATTCCATGAATCATGATTCTTAACGTTGTGTAGTAAATAAAATTGACGCCCTTTTTAACATTTTCTGAACACAAGTGTATGGAGTAATTTATAGTTCTCCTGTGAGGTCATCAACACCAACGTTTTTCTTTCATTTTGGTCCACTATCTCGACAACAAGATGCTGACCTCGTAATGCACTTTTGTTATTTCCATCTAGCTTTTGTGTTCTGGCTCCATTTCATGATTTTTTTATGCGATGTTGCATTTTCGCCTGCAAAGTCCCCGTGGATCCGTGAAGCCCTCCATTTATAGATTTTTTGCAGTTGAAAGTGCGCCTGCTTCGTCCATTTAAATTCTTGAAAACGTTTTAAGTGCAATTTTAATTACTTTCGTGTAGTATGATAAAAAGCGGAATGAAAACCAAAGTAATCAAGTAATCAAACACATTTTGCACCGGGGAAAGACAACATTTTTTTGGAAGAAACGAAATCACCATAAGCTTGGATCTTGAGGAAAATATGTGTACCTATTCAAGTGAATACATACATACATACGTATGCGCGAGAACACACGTGTACATACATATGTATGCATGTAGGTTCTGTGTTCTGATATATGTACCTATTATATTGTTCTACGTAAAAGTTAATAATAAATTTATGCACATATTTCTACATCTGTATGTATGTATGTATGTGAATAAAAAACTAAAATATAAATGCATACCTACTATGTATGGGTTTTTGCTTTAATGCGGGTGTTGAGATTTTTATTAAAATTAGGTTTTGCAGGGTTTGGATGGCGATCAATATTTTTGATATTTATGTATGTATGTATGTATGTATAAGCATTATCATGTAACTAAAAAAGAGAATGTGTCTGTATGAGAGGGAGAGATTGTGTCTCAACAAAGTCGGAAATTCGTACACCCATGCATACATACATACGTACATACGTATGTTTGTATGCACATACGCTCGTTGGAAGGGGAGAATTTGGGGTGGCACGAAAGCCTATTTGTTTCGTTTGATGTTGTTGTGGTTGCTGCTGCTGCTTTGTACTTACTTGTACTCCGTGCTTTTATGCTTTCATACCTCTCGTATGTGTAAAGCTGGCCGATTTCGTTGGGGTTCAGACGATATTGTGCTCAACTAGCAGCGGCAGTAACAATACAAGCTCTCAGGAATACGGTCGGTCCATCGGGTGGACGATAGTTGCTTACATTTTAATAAAGCAACTAAGGCAACAACACCAATATTGTTACTTGAGTAAATAGTACATTCATACATATGTACATAACATAAAAAAAAAATAAAAAATAAAAAATACAAATTAAATACATCTGCATACACACGAAAACAGCAAATGCACGTTCGTTTACAAAAATACAAGTGTATATACATAGTTGTAGAAAACATATACATACGTATAAATATATTATAAATATGTATGTATGTACGTGTGTCCAAGATTTTTTCCTGTGTAATGGCGTACTCACATACACAAACTAATGATTAACTACAAAACTATCAGCAATTTTTAATAAGTTCGGGGAAATCCATATCCGCTAAGGAAAAACAAAAAAATAAATCGGGACCATTTATTTTAAGTGTGAAAAATCCTACTGATGTTTTATGTATTTTATATAATTTAAAGAAAAAGTTGAATAAATTAAATTATATTTATGTAATATTAAAGAACAACCGCAGATAACATTACATACACTGTGATTGAAGAGTGAAGAGTGGTGGCAGAACAAAAGGAGAACAGTGAAAAGTTTCTAAAGATTGGCAGCTATAAAGCAGCAATAAAACGATGACATTGTCTGGTGGCTCTCCTTGTGAAAAAAGTAAGTTTTAGAAATTTTATTTCGTATAAGTATGTATGTATACATATCTATCTACCAATGTACACTACACATGCATGTATGTATGTATGTACATATCGTCGCCTGGGTAAAAGATTGTCGCAAGCGCAATTTTCGATTGGTGTTATGTGTTTTTAGATATCTTCTTTAGTTTCCGAGATATTGACTAAAATTTTTTTCGATAATTTGATAAAAATTTAGTTAGTGATGCAGTCATATTAAACTAATCAATACCTTAAAAATTGCGTTCTCCATTTTTGGATATCTCCTTTAGCTTCCGAGATATTGAGTATGCAAGTATCATTAATTGAGTATAAATTTTGATCACATTTTGTCGTTTTACTAAATAAAATCCTTCATAAACTCAAAACTAATTAACAATAAACATTAAAAATTTAAATATTTAAATATTTTAAGAATTTTGTGAACTAGTAACATTTTCAGAGACTTTGGAGAAATTCTATGCTCGCGTTTTTGAGAAATTGCATTCCAAACTTCAGTCGCGATTTCCAACAACCTGCCGAAATCAACATACCTACGACAATATTTTACCCAGGCGACGATATGTAGATATGTTTGTGGAGGATGTATACGGGTAGCTTTCTTGAGTTACTCCTAGAGCTGTAAAACTATCGATGGTACTATCGAATGGTTCTATTTTTTTTTGGCACAATCGAATGGTCGTTGCCACCATCGATAGTCTTTGTTTGCGGAAATATACATATTGTTTATATTATATGTATGTACCTACTAGGTACTTAGTATGCATTTTTTTATTTTTGAAAATGGGAATTTGGCAACATTGATTTGCTTACACATCACTATTTTTTTACCTATTACCGGGTTTTACGCGGTTTAAGTATTGATTTCAATTCTGCTTACTAGTGGAAGAGAGAGGTTGAGAAGAAAGGGGAAGAGTAGTGCATCTGTACCGTCAACTGGTTTGCTTTTGACGTTATCGTTGTTTCCCATTTAAAGAACCAAAAACTGGAATTTACCAATATTTAAGCGTGTAGAAGCAAATAGAAAACACCATGATGTAATAATAAGGTGTTGTCAGTAGGGACGTGTTTGTTGTAATTTTGACAAAATCCGTACGCTTATTTACAATGATGCCTACTCACATATTTATACCAAAAACTTTAGGAAAATAGTACTAAAACTACTCCTTTTCATAATATCGTTCTAAAAGAAATCGTTTGCATCACTGTTCTTCATTGTAAATTTTCGTGTTGCAAATTAGACTGAAAATCTGGAACTCTGAGTTATAAATTATAAAATTGCGGTTTTTTCAATGAAATAAATCGTTTTAAGTTTAGTAAGCAGTTTAAAAAACTAGTTAGGTTTTAATACTAGTTGTGGTCCAAGTAAAGTTTATGCCTCGACTAAAGTTTGGTATACAGAATTGGCTAGTTGAAAATTTGCAAAAAAAAAACTTTCGACCACTGCATTTGATCCAGTGAAACGTATTTTTAAGCCATTGGATACAATGCCTTTTAGTGCCCAGTGCATTTGCATAACAACCCACCACATTTAACTTTGTTTTTGGTACCTTATCCAGCCAGGTATACATAACTTTTATTTGCAAGTAAGGAAACCCTAATTTCTTCTTTTCCAGTGTTTTTGTTGCACGGTCAACCGCTTTTCTACCTCCAAGTTTGACCGGTGCTAATCTTATGGAGAAAATGTTGCGGTCATCGTCCACCTCGCAATTGCCGGAGAGAGTTCTAAAACTTTTATTCAAATGCCGAATGCATTTCCGCATTAAGGATTTAAATAAATCCTCAAATAACTGAGGTGTGTGTAACCAACAACATTTAGAACCCTTAATTATAAAATATTACTTTTAATTAGATCTACTCAAAACGATGGTTTTTATTTTGTTTAGCTGAATTCATTTTTATGAGCTTTTATTTAACTTGCTCATCCCGCGGAAAAATCTAATCGATTTTATTTTTTCCTTGTAAGAAACAAGAATCTCCAAAAAAGTCAGCATTGAGTTAGTTCTCGAAATTAATAAAGGTACACAAATACTTTAAACTTCCATATTATTGTAAAAATAGTAAGAAAAACTGAGTAAAAAGGGCCAAAATTTGTCACCATTTTCTACTACCTTAAAATGCGTTGCCGGAATACGCGTACCGAAAAAGTGAGGTTAAGTTACTGACAACACCTTGTTTTATTACACCATGAGAAAACACAAAATAAAATGAATCAGAATTGCTTTGAAGTACTTGAATCATGTAAATCGGGTGTAATTAAATTAGAAAAAACTAGTTTGAATATCTTTTTGGAACCATACCATTGTGTTAGTGATTCTGCGTCGATGGAAGATATTATTGATATAAGCAAGGGTTAGTCAACTGTTGGAGATTCTTGTATTTCCTTTTGATACTTTGAATGGATAAATAATCATGTAGAAGCCGGAGTAGTTTTACAGTTCTAGTTACTCCATTGTGTGCGCATACCAGGGGTTGCCATAAACCAACACGGAAAGTAACAGTGGCTACACACGGCGAACATAATAAACGTTAAATAAACTAAGGAAAAATAGCCAAAACTTACTAAAATGTCGCGTTCCACTTTATATTTGGCTCACTGTATTTTTTCCAAAGAAGGACGTAGTGGAGATTTTCTACATACAATTTTTGTTACGAATGTCTTAAACTTAAGTGTGAAGTTGTATTCGCAACACTTGTAAAATAACGAAATAAAGCAAAACTCTCTGGGAAGGCAACATCTGTGAATAATTGTATCAGGCGTGTGCAGAGAGGTCATTAAAAACGGGAAAGTTTCGAATATATGGACATAAAGATACAATTAAATAGTTTAAAAGCGCAAACAGTCAACGACGTAGACGTAGGTTGACGCAGCCACGATCTACCTTACGGGATGCGCGTGTTGACGAAAACTCACCACCGCATGGCGGTGACGTTGTCGTTGCTTTTCTCTCTCTCTATCAACAGTAAATTTTATATGCTGCTACGTACGTCAACCTACGTTTACGCTACGTCCTTGACTAATTGCGCTTTTAAGCTCAAACAGTCCGTAACGTAGACGTAGGTTAACGCAGACACGATCTACCTTAACGAAGACTAAAGGCCCAGTTAGTCAACGACGTAGCGTAAACGTAGGTTGACGTACGTAGCAGCATATAAAATTTACTGGTGATAGAGAGAGAGAAACAACGGCAACGTCACCGCCATGCGGTGGTGAGTTTTCGTTAACACGCGAGTCCCATAAGATAGATCGTGTCTGCGTCAACCTACGTCTACGTTACGTCGTTGACTGTTTGCGCTTTCAACACCGCATGGCGGTGACGTTGTCGTTGCTTCTCTCTCTCTCTCTATCACCAGTAAATTGTATATGCTGCTACGTGCGTCAACCTACGATTACGCTACGTCGTTGACTAACCGCGCTTTTAATTGTTAAAAATATAAAAAGCTACATACCTGTTTTTTCGATATACATACTTACATACATACATATGTATGCAAATTAATGGCGTTGTATTTTCTCGAAATAATGTTGCCTCAGCCCTTTCACAGCTTGACATATGTACGTACGTGTTCATTTCTTAAAATATTTCCCTTCGACTTAGCAAAAGTGCAATACTTTCTAATAAAGTAGCCACTTTGAAGGATAAAAAATAATCTAGTGCAAATTTTTACAATATAAGAAGGCAAACTTTTTCAATAGAAAAGAAAATGTCATACATAAGTTTGTAATTGATCTTGTTTTTTTAACCGACTTCCAAAAAAGGAGGAGGTTATTAGTTCGTCGGATTTTTTTTTCTTTTTTTGGACCACGTCAACCGATAATCGATAATTCTTTTTGCATCGGAAAGGTAGTGTCTCAGAGGTGGTCCCATACTAATCTGGTTTAGATCCGATCATTGAATCATGAGATATATACATACATATACATATATATATTTTTATATGAGAATTGGAGTCGGGTTTTTTTTTGCTAAAAATTACTTGTTTGTATTTAAGTAATACAAACATGACTTCTGATGTAAAGCTTAGCTACGTACATATAACGACAGTTTCCTTTTTTTAAATAAAAATAATTTGTAATGAATTTACCAGTCTCCGTTTTTGAGATTTATTTAATGAATTTATTTACTAGTCGTTCTACTTGTGATTTATTTAAATAAAACATGTGAATTTTAGTTGAAAAATTTTAGCCGTTTTTAGCCGCCTTTTTTTTTGCCAATGTAGCCGGTCGGCCCAAAAAGTTCTAGCAACACTGGGCCTCATATGTACATATGTATGTATGTATGTATTTTCTTTCGGACTTCAGTGTTGTAGAAATACGCAAATGAAGAACTTTAGATTTTGTAAAGGCACACAAAGTTTAGATGATGCTTTTTTAGGTATATTAAGGCAAAACGATATATGTATGTACATATGGTTTTTGAACTATGAACTATGTAGGTACAAACGTACATTTGTATATACATATGTGTGTATGTATGTACATATGCATGTATTTATATTAAAAAAATAAAATATATGGAAAAGTATTTGTAATGGAAAACATTTTAAACATTGTGAAAAACTAAATTGCGAATACATACCTACATACTTCTGTGAGTGACTGCATCTACGTGTGTATGTATGTAGATATGTACATATATATGCATAGACATGTCATCAAACCTCATGATTGCATATGGTGGCAATAATAACAACAACAATAATTTTCTCCCTCTCCCCCGCCCCCTCTGCCATATTTGCTATAGCACACGAGCATTTTTTTGTGCGTTTCTAAACTTTACGCCAGCCATACATACATACATACATGCACTTTCAAAAGCTATGGTATTGGTGAGAGTGCACAAGCTGGTGCAGTTTATGTCTGCCTGCCTGCCTGCCTGCCTGCCTGTTTGTTTAATATATGTACATACATATGTGTGGGTGTAAATTCTCGCTCATTTGTAAGATTGTGTGCGTATTTTTTATTTTTCGAAGATGGAA